AAAACATAAAACAATAAGCAAGGATAGCAAACATTTTTCACTAGGAAAGATTTGATTGGATATGAAAATTAACCTGCTTTAGTGCAACTGCTAAGGCAGTAATTGTGTGGTTGTGGGGTCCACCTTGAAGTCCAGGAAACACAGCTTGATTGATTCTGTCTTCGTAATCATACATAACCTGTCAGATGGAACTCAATTTTAGAATATTTTTGTGCCTTCAGTATTTTGAGAGCATAAAGTAATGAAACAAAACATAATTTATTTCTAGTGCTGCTTAACACTTTCCTCATGTAGGGACCTACGAGCAGTTAAAAACTAATTACCTCAAGTTGCCATAGTTTATTGGACTATATATAAAACAGCGATAATTTCGTCCAATAATCAAGATGAGGCAATGGAGGCTCAACGGGAATGTGAAGAACGGAAATTGACTCAACAACAGAATTTAGCAAGAACACCGTAAAGGTTTAGCGATTATTTTATTTAAACTCACTTCTTTTCCTTGTTTATTGATCTCTTTTACTCCCTTCCTGAAGAAGATCATTGCTCCGCGTGGCCCACGTAGTGATTTATGTGTGGTTGTTGTGACTACATCTGCATACTCAAATGGTGATGGGATGACACCAGCAGCAACCAACCCACTAATGTGTGCCATATCTGCCAATAAGACGGCCTTTTGCTTGTCACAGACCTGTCATATACATTATAAAGATGAATGATGTGTTATTGAGATTTGAAGGGAAAAAAAAAAAAAGATATTCAGATGTCATTTTTTAAACTGCATTTGTTGGACTGGGGTTACCTTACGAATCCGTGCATAATCATATAAACGTGCATAAGCACTTGCACCAGCAACAATCAATTTTGGCCTGAAAAGCACTGCACTCTTTTCTAGCTGCAAATAACACAGGTTAACTCTCCATACACAGAAGAATATGTATGATATAACTTATCTAGTGGCCTGTGAAATGTATAGCTTGAACTCAAAGAGAATATGTATGATGCCTTAATATTACCAACCACCGAGATGTCTATCACAAGTTCGGAACTCAACACCTCTTATATTTATTCGGCTACTTACACAATGCATCTACCGTGACATTAATCATAATCGAGGATGATTAATGGTTTTCACTTAGAGTCAGAATAATAGATGCACCATATATTGTGTGCATGTTAGTGTGAGCATAGGTTCGTAAAAAAGCAAGTAGTGAAGTTCTTGGAAGAAGAGTGGAAATGTGTTTTCTGTTCTTATGAAGCCCCTATATTTAGAAAAACACTGAATATAAAGCAAATGGGCATCAATGAAGCAACATCGCTAATTTATAAGTATAACTTCATAAAAAGTATTATATTCTCTCAATGATGACATGAACAAGAAAAATTACGATAACAGAGTTGATCAATTATCATTGATGCCTCCATCACCATTGACTATTGTATTGGCAAACATAAATTGCATGGAGTAAAAGAGCATTAGAGATCCAAAATATGTTTGGATGAAACCTAGTTTCGGGTTTTCATTTAGTATATGTCTTTGCAAAAAATGAAAGCCAAAGATGGAAATGAGAGTCAGCTCGAACAAACTTTTGGAAATTAAATTATTATACCTGATCATAGTCGATATACCCTGTGCTTTCATCCAGTCTATAAGGCATTGTCTCAAAAAATATAGACACCGCACTAATCTTTTTCGTATCAGTCTGTAACACAACCCCCAAAACGAATTCAAAAACTCAAATAACGATTTAACTTGGGAAAAGGGCAGAAAAAACATAAGTAGATTCGACAAGTTAAGATGGAAGCACCTGATATCCATGTGACAAATGACCACCGTGAGGAAGATCAAGAGCCATTATCCTTTCATGAGGTTTCAGCAGAGCAGTATAAACTTGAAAATTGGAAGGGGATCCAGAAAGTGACTGTACATTCACTGCAAATATAAAGCAAGTGGTTCTTTTGATAAGTGGTTTACTAACTCAAAATCAACAGAAACAAAAGAATCGAACGTGAAATACAAACCCAAATCAGAAAGTACTTACCTCCCCATTTTGCAGGATCCAATTGGAAAGTCTCTAAGGCACGCTTCTGACACAACGTCTCAGCCATGTCGATGTACCTAACAAACAAAAACCAGAACTGTAATAAAAGAATGCAATACACATTATCTGCCCTCGCCAGAAAGCCAATTCACAAGACAACCGACATTGAGTTTAAAACCGGTTATTAGTTTTAGTAAGAAAACGAACAGTTGGAAGTGATTTTAATGCTGAGATTATTGTATCAATGTTTACACTGCTTAAAGTTCTGAGAGTTGGTACACGACAATACATATTAACGTAAGTTAAATCTAAAAAAATCAGCAAATATGTAACATCATAGAAGATGGGCACTAATTCAAAGCTGCACGAGTACATAAAGTAAAATGGAGGGAAAAAAAACGAGAAGTCGTACTCATTTCCTCCATAGTATCTTGCTCCAGGGTACCCTTCACTATATTTGTTAGTCATAACTGATCCAACCGCTTGCATCACCGATAATGACGTGAAATTCTCTGAAGGTATGAGTTCCAGTCCCTAAATCCATAAATTAACTTAATCCAAACGCATAAAAACACCAAAACACCAAAATGAACAGTAGCAAAATCAAACGATGTATGTAGAAATGAGATTTAGAATCGGTTTAGTGCACACTTATATATATATACCTTCCATTGCCTTGCCTTCTCGAGCTCTATGATGTCAGCAATCTCCGGATCTACCTCTTCCAACGGCTCATTCAATTGTTTCGTCCACTGCCGAATCGAGATTCAAGTGAGAAACGAGATCCAATCATTGCACACAATCACATCATTCGATTTCGTTAACAAACAATGAAAAAAAAAAGGAAATTACAGTAATTCGCGAAGTGTCCTTCTGGCTGGCCGCTTGATTCGCCAAAGAAGACTGACCGGAGAAAATATTGAAGGAAAAAAACGGAGATCAATAAAAAAACGAACAGATTCCACTGAGTGAAGAGGTGTAAAAGCATTACAAAAAAATAAAATAAAATAAAATCTCACACATACACACACACAAAAACACAATCTCACCATGAAATGACGGGAGGAGGAGCTGGAGAGAGAACGAACGACGGAGAGTCTTCGGAGAGCCATTGCCGCCATTAGAGCAGAGTTCGTGTTTCTGCCACCCGCACTCGCCTTTCTGCTTTATTGTTCGTATATTGTAAGGCGGTTGTTGTGGGATCGGAGTTGGTGGGTGATGGTGGAAGTCACTACTGCCCGTTTGCTATTAATTTAATTTAAATATTGTCTGAAATAGGAAAATATAAAAATAAAAAAATAAAAAATATTATATCTGGGTCACTGTTGAAAATGAGTGGTGGGCTGTTTTAGGTTTGAAGGTGGGGCCCACAAAATCGAACATTTTTGCTCTGGAGGTTGTGCCCAGCCCAAACATTAATGTTGCTGGGCTTCCGGAGTGTGTGTTTCCAAATATTTGTTATTATTATTATTATTATTATTATTATTATTAATTATTTGTTATAATTTAAAGTATAAAATATATTATCTATAAGAACCATATTGAAGTATAAAATAGTGTTTGTAAAGTGAAGATTGAAAGCTAAAATTACGAACGAAGTGAAAAAAAATTGCTATAATACAAAGAGAAAGTGAGGTAGATCTTGGAGATTAATCCATAACCATAAGGGCTCGTTCGGTTACCGCTATAAGGTTCTACTGACTAAATAGTAGGGGCTAATAACATGTCCGGTTGGTAAGATTCACACTTTTTCAAACCCGCTACTAAAATCAAAGTCCGCTATTAAATGCTACTATTTTATTAAATTAGTATCACCCCTCCCCCTGAGATTAATTTCATAGGTGGTGACTAAAAAAGAAAAATACAATTTTATCCTTAAAATCATATTTTATTATTGTAAATTAAGTGGTTTTATAGACAATTCATATATAATAACTAATTTTAACAAATTTAATAGAAAATTTAATCTAAGAAACCTAACATGCTACTAACTAAATAATTAATTAGTCAGTAGGGAGTTAATCCAATCTCATGTAATCCAATCTAATCCAATATAGGTAACCAAACGAGCCCTAACTATATTTAAATAATAAATTTATTATATACTTAATTATTAATTTAATCGGTCGGGTCATATTCGGGTTGAGCCGTAATAGACTTAAACTCAACTCATAAATGAATCAAATTTCATATAATGACTTAAACTCTGTCCAACTCACTAAAATTAAACCAGACTCAAACATAATCGGGTCGAGCAATCGAACTTGGGTTAAGCCCGGTTCAATTACCTGTCTTAATGATTTCCATATCTGTATTTTTTATTTTTTACTTTCAAGCCCATCAAAACGGCCCTAAATAATTACGAAAATTGATTGGTTTTATTGGGCTAGTTCCCTCACTTTCTTTCGCTTCTACTCGGCCCATAGATTTAATGTTCAATTTTTATTTCTTATTTTTTGCTGATTATTGCAGGCGAAAATTCCACAAAATTCTCTCTCCCATCTCTCTCAGGAGGTGATTCTCTCTAATTCGCTCTTTTACGCGTACATGTATATGATTCAAACTGGATTTAAATGTGATTTTTTAAAGAATTGTTTGCTCCGTAATTAATATTTCACATTTGTTTGCCGAATTCCTCCTTTTTTTTGTTTTTTATTTTTATTTGCTTGCAGCAAACAGGTTATTTCATGGTTGTTTGATTTGGGAGAGAAATTGTGGTTGGTGAAGAAATAGGCAACGGAATAAACGATGGGCAATTTGAAGCAAGCCCTGAAAAGCCTCGATGCGTTTCCACGCGCCGAAGAGCATTTGATGCTCAAGACAAAATCCGGCGCCCTCGGTATTTTTCTCTATTAGAATTTTTTATTGATTTTTTAATTTATAATTTTGCTTGTGTGTATAACTGTTTCATTGATCCATAAATTTCATTTTATTGTACCGTATTTCAGCCCGTGTGCATGGTTTCCTACTGTAAAAAAATTAAAATGAGTGTTATCTAGCACTTGAATCGTGGATCCCGGAGGGGAGATTAACCTTACGTTGCTTATGGAATTGAGGCTTTTTTAGTTGGAGAATTGTTGGCACAAATTCAAGTTTTAACAACATTTTATAATTGTTATTTCCCGTTAGGTCTTTTAGCATTGAGTTGTGTTACTTATAGGGGATCAGTAATTATTGACTGGAGCTTTCGCCAATATTGCGTTCGGGATATTCTTATGGTGCTTTTTTTTGGATTAGAATTCATATAACTGCTTTTGGGTATTGATCAGATCCCGTTTCACGATTGTTCATGCTTCTGTATGTGTATGATTACTTGTATTAAAAAGTGCTAAATATGTACATTTTTTTGTTTCTAGCTGGTTGTTGAATTCTAACCATCGTTTACTATTTTCTCTATCATACCGTATAAACTTTATTTTACTTCAATGGAGGTAGTCGGTAGGTAGTTGTTGTTTAGCAAAAGAATACTTGAAACTTCTTGCTTATCTGATATGTGAGAGTTGGGTAAATTCGGTTAAGAAAATGCAGTCAGTGGTTAAAAAACATCTCAACTAGTGCGCTATGCAATACGTTGTGATGGTAGTCAATTGGTGTAAGGGATGCAGTACTGACTTCAAAACTTTTTCGTGTTTTTAATAGTTTCTATCATTGGACTTGTAATCATGGCAACTTTGTTCTTGCACGAGCTGACTTATTATATTTCGACATACACTGTACATCAGGTTTGTTTTCTTCATCTACATAGTTTTTTCTCTATTCTTATAGTAGCTAGTCATTATGGGTTCTTAATATGGGATATTACACCTTGGCAGATGTCAGTTGATTTAAAACGTGGAGAAACGCTTCCAATCCATATAAATATTACATTCCCCTCTTTGCCTTGTGATGGTTAGTCCTTTTAACCTCTGTTGTTCATTATTTTCTCCTTACCATTCCTTCAGTCAAATCATTGGTTTAATGTGCTTCCTTGAAACTCTTATCGTGATAGTGTATTCTACATCTTGCCACGTCTTATTTTACTATGTGTGAATCTTGTCAGTTCTAAGCGTCGATGCAATTGATATGTCGGGGAAGCATGAAGTTGATCTTGACACAAATATATGGAAGGTTAGAGGTTTCTTGATTAGTTAATATTGTCTATTTCTTTTCTGCTGGCCGGCTTCATTCATCCAACCCCAACCCCCCCACCCACACACACAGACGCACACATCTGATATTCTACATTTGTTTGTTGTCATTATGCTGACGGATAATTATTTCTACAGCTTCGTTTGAATAATGATGGCCATATCATTGGCACAGAGTATTTATCTGACCTTGTTGAGAAGGGAAATACTGCTCATGGACATGGTTAGTTCATCTGGAACTTTAAGTACACTTGAAATTATGTCCGATGCAAACTTTAAGCATGGCTCGATTTTTTAAAGGTTTTTTGGCTATGCTGATTCTTGTAGACTGTATATATATATATATATATATATATATATATAAAAGAAGCTGTGATTGTTGGTAACAAAATTCTTATTGAACACACTGAACAGATGACCACAAAGATCACCAGGAGGAGTCAGAGCATAAAATTAAACTCCATAATCTTGATCAAGAAGCTGAAAATATGGTCAAGAAGGTGAAGCAGGCATTGGCTAACGGTGAAGGTTGCCGGGTATGATTTTGTCCATGTTACCCTCTTTTTTTGTCGTATTTCAGCTCTTTAATCTCTCATATATCTCATTGTCTGTTGCAGGTATATGGTGTTCTAGATGTCCAAAGGGTTGCCGGGAACTTTCATATCTCAGTCCATGGATTGAACATTTTTGTTGCCCAAATGGTAAGCTGTTGGATTTACTTTACCTTATTTTTTTGCCTCTGATTTGTCCCAAGATGATGATTTTTAATTAAAAAAATAAAAACCCGGTTACAAAAACACACTCTGCAGGTCTACCATATCAAGGCAATAGTTAAGCTCAATAAAAGTAGTTGATTTAGCAGAAACTAATTTTAGCATCTAATTTTCTATAAACACTATAAACAGAAAACCTTAGTTGTGAAGCTTATTTTTTAACTTTCTACCAACTACTTGTATTTAATTACTCCATTTGCTCTTCTGCAGATTTTTGAGGGCTCTTCTCATGTCAATGTAAGTCATATAATTCACGATTTATCGTTTGGGCCCAAATATCCCGGAATACATAACCCACTTGACGAGACATCCCGGATTTTGCGTGGAGCAAGTGGAACGTTCAAGTACTACATAAAGGTTTCAGCTCTTGCCACCTTTGATAAAACTATGAAATCTTATGTCATGCTATACTCTATTTTGTCTTCTACATATAATGTTAAAAGGTTAGAAATTGCAGAATCCTTCTTATGACATGGCATCTCAATTATGACCTCAGACGAATCATATTCTATACGATAAAGAACTACTTTCTCAGTTCAATTTTGTTCTGAAAATCTTATTACTTGTCTCTAAATCCAAACACATATCAAACTTTGAGTCTCCTTTTGCAGCTAGAGGTATATATCTAAGCCGAGGTTTCAGTTTATGAAGTTGGCCTCTCATGCGTATATTAATATTCTTCACCGATCTGATTTTGTTGATAAAATATCATGTTAGTGTAATCCACTAAATGCAGCCTGGCATTATAAAGCGATCTCACAGCACCTTCTGAAAGTATATTTTTATTAATTTTTTTTGTTGTAGATTGTTCCAACTGAATACAAGTACATCTCGAAGGAAGTTTTACCTACAAATCAATTCTCTGTCACCGAGTACTTTTCTCCGATTCATGAGTTCGATAGAAATTGGCCTGGTAAGTTATCATTAACCCAGAATTTCGAGATATTTGCCCTTCTTTTGTTGCTATACTGTGCTGGGGAATTAATTAGCCACTCCAATTTCGATGCAGCTGTATACTTTTTGTATGATTTGTCACCAATTACCGTGACAATTAGGGAAGAACGTCGTAGTTTCCTCCACTTCATTACACGTCTCTGTGCAGTACTGGGTGGTACATTTGCATTAACAGGTTTGTTTCACCTTTTTCTCTCCAATTGTCTTTGACTGTATATCAGTTTACGTAGTCTCTGCAAACATCACCTTGATAGGATGGTGTTTTTTATCACTATCTCTCAGATTATTCTCTTTAATTATACTGGACTCAATAATAATAGTAAGTTAATTATCGATATATGACTTTTTACATGGCAGGAATGCTAGATAGATGGATGTACAGGTTCATCGAATCATTCACAAAACCAAATGCTAGAAGTACCGTACGGTGATTTGGGGTTCAAAACTTTATGTGCACGAGGAATTTCGTAATGCAAACAGTATACAGTTCTGATGAAATGAGCACACAAGTCAATAGCTATGAAGAAACTACTAAATTAACAAACACCCCCACCCCCCTCTCGTCCCTTGTCCTCGGTTTTATCTAATTTTTGATATTGTTGTATTTATTATATTGGGGATTTTTTTAGTTTGATGTTTTAGTGTGCGATTGTAATTTATATATCATTCTTGTAAAAGTGACTTTCGTGTTTTTAGTAACAACCTGTATGGACTTGCCATAAAACAAAAATTTGTGCAAAAAAATTTCTTACAAAAATAAGTCGAGCTTTATCAGTACAATAGTTACTAAATACACCGAGGGCAAAATTACATTTGACAGCTCTTCTAAGAAACACAGGGATCAAAATGCACTAATAACCTACCCTAATATTTGGACATGAGTCTCCAATCCCCTTAAGTTTCAATATTGGTGCAACCAAAAAATTGCCAACTAGGATACATACATGAATGTAAAGTTACCAAAAAGCCCCTTTCAAACACTTCTACAACGTTCTCACACACTCTGCTGCATGCTTTCGTGTTGCCCTGTGTTTTCAGCTGACCCTACAGATACATTGTGTGTTCTTGGAATTTGATTGTTATGACCGTTATTTGGAGGCCGATTTTGGTGGTGGTGATGCTGATGGAGCTGCCGGTGGTGGTGGTGGTAGTGGTGCCGTCTTTGCTCATTCCGGTGAGACTGTAATCCGCTGCTTATTTGCTGCGGCAAAGACTGAGGATTACGGCTTGCCCTCCATCTTAGGTACTCAACAAGCAGTGAGTTGGTGCTTATTGCAATTCCAAATCCCGTGAAAGAAGAAAGCAGCACCGAGAGAATTGCGTTCACATTGAGCTGCGCAATTTTTTTTTTTTTTTTTTTTTTGTTTTGAGCAATCGGACAAATGAAAAATATTTAGGCGGCTCTGATTGGATCGAGGTAAAACAATATTAAAGTAGTTAAGAGAAAAATGAAAACATTGAATCATGTCTTACCACAGCGTAGAAAATATGAGCGAAAAGGATGACTATTGCAAACTGGAAAGAAGCATAAGCCCATATGTAACTCTTGCTCACTGCCAATCATCACAGTTCTCTCAACATTAATCTTTCAAAGGGTATTTATTATAACTACTAAAAAAAAAAGAATAACTTATAATAATTTGAAGACGAAATAAACGGAGGTTGTGGATCTTACCCATGGTAGAAGCAATCATGGACGAGAGGAGACCCAAAACACAGGAAAAAGGCAACGATATGGCAAGTGCTCGAGGTCCCATATCAGACACCTGTTATAAAGCAAAAACTTTTAAGAAAATACTTCATATGTTTTATAAATTAAAACATTTCGTATAAACAAATGCGATATACAAGAATGGACTATACCAGAAGCTGCTCGAGAAAGCAGAAATACGCAAGCATGCTGACCATTACAAGAATTGGCACATCCCTCCATACCCTATCAAGAATTGAAGTAAACAAATTTATAAAAAAAAAAAAAAAAATTGATTTGGAGAACAATTAATAAAAAAAAAAGAAAAAAGGAAATTTAAGAACAAATAACTTGCCTGTAACGAGCGACTTCCCTTTGCTGTGGTCCGGCGGGCGGTCTTCGTACAACGTCTGGAGGATTCTGCAACTTCAATAATGTTACCGGAAGGTTCCGGACATCCTGCCTACAAACATCACATGTCTTATTACCTTTGATACTAAACCACTTTACAGCACATTCTTTGTGTGCAAGTGCAAGTTCTCCTTTGCAGCTGCACTCCATCTTTAATGTTTCGCCACCTTCTCCGAGTTCCACAAAACAGATTCTGCAAACAGCTTCTTCTTCCGGAATGTCTTCCCCAACATCATCTAAAATAACCAGAGTATAAATTTTATTTTAATAATAAAAAGGGATGTGATAAAATGTAGTTTCAGTTTTAATAATGCCGTTTTTCGACTTCGAACATGATTTTGACCATTTTTTAGGCTGAATTCCGCAAAACTTAAAACTTGGAATTTGTAGTATCTTGAGTGAGCTTTCTAAACCAAGTAGAATCACCAATATTGGATGCCGTGTGAGAAAGATATGCATGAATTAAAATTCAAAATGAAACTCATTTATGCATAACTTTGTCACCCAATCTAGATAAAGCTAACTCAAAAGACTACAGTTTCGGTGTTTTGAATTTTGCCAAAATCGGACTAGAAAAAGGTCAAAATTACGTTCGAAGTCAAACCGGCATATAACATTTCAGAAGAAAAAAGAAACTATTGAAGCAAATATATATATATACATATATATATATATATATATATATATATATATATACCAGTTTCTGTATCGGGAGATATATTTTCGGAACCATTTTCAACTGCTGTTGGCCGTTGGTTTATTGATATCACACGTATCAACACTCCGGATGAATCCATACGCCTTAAGCTTCTCAATTTAACATTAACTGGAACCGAAAACGAACGTGTCATATGTTGTTTTATTTCAGTTTGCTGTAAGGAAACAATGTTACGTCAGAAAAAAAATATAAATAAAAGAAGAAAATAAGAACGCGCTTCGTCTTTGTAAGTTAGTTATAAATAACAAACTTACAGGGGTTTTACATTGGCGATCAACATAATTTGCCATCGGTATTACATTTGCAATTGGTGTCACTGGCAAAGAATGCGAAGATTTCAAGAACAAAATTTTGTTCAAAGAAGACGATCTCGAAGTGGATGGCTTGTCAGAGAGGGGCGTTTCTGGTATTATGAGAACCGTTTTTTCAGCTTCGTGAGGTAGGTTTTTAGCCCTGAAGCTCTTCTGTGATCTCGATTTTGCCGAACTTGATCTTGGAGGCAATCCTGCTCTGGTAGAATTCGGGCTCTGTATATCTATCTTTGTGAAATCGTACAACGCATTTTCTAAAGATCGAACGGGTATTTCGAGAGACGAGAGATTCGGCTTTCTTGGCTGCTGCATTAAGCTGGCTTCTTCTCTTTCGTATTCCTGAGGGCATTTTCGTCCGAAAGTAAGTTAATTTCGTTCCTTGATTTCTCGGACAATTTCAATGGAAAGTATAAGAACATCAAAACCTCAAAAACTACGTGACTAATTATAAGCAGCAATAAGGGATGATTGCTTACTAACTGTAATTGTTTCGAAAATCAATGATGAAAATAACAACTCAGTTAAAAGATTCAGATTTAAATTCAAGTATTTTCCCCCAATTCTTTTTTTTTATTCCAAAAATCTGTAAGAACAAAATTAAGCATTTCTTCGATTTTGTTAGGAACTCAGTATTACAAAGTGTGTGGGCAATCCACAAATCCATCAAACAAACACACACACACACACACACACACACTAAATATAAGGGGCAAATTGCAAAATTGAAGAACACATATACCTCAGCTGAGTTTTAAATTGATAAAATAAAATAAAAAATAAGAGAATTAGAGAGAATTACCAGATTATAGTGTCCATGGTGATTTTCAACATCTTCTTCAGCAGTTTGATGAATCGTTCCGACGCCATTGTTCTCCGCCATGAGTGCTGCGTAACTGTGCAACCCAACGAGAATATAAATAAATTAATAAATAAATAAATAAAAAAAAAAAAAAAAAACCTTTTCGATTCAATGAAAGAAAAAGCTGGCTTTGAACTCTGAAAAGAAAAAGGAGTCAACAAGGAGTGAAATTGAATCAAAAAAAGTTGACGACTTTCAACTTTGGAAGATATGATTGGGAACAAGAAATTACTTATTTTTAATTACTTAATTACTTATTTAATTAATTGTGTAATTAAATAACATGAGAACATTGTTTGTATTTAATTTAGCGGAATATACCCACCAATCTTTCGTTTGTGCTGCCTGATCGGTGGTCAGGTTAGATTTTTTTTTTTTATTTTATTATATTATATTATATATGTATATATATATATATATATATATATATATATATATTTTTTTTTTCCTACTAAGAGCAACTCCAATGCTAGATATTAAAATTGAGTTATCAAATACTCATTTGATATTTGAGAATTATTTTAATATTAATTTAAATCTCATCTACTCCAACC